TCTGTGACCTCATTTCTCCCAGTGTCCCCAAATGTCTCAGTGTCCCCATGTCTCCCAGTGTCTCCATGTCTCCCAGTGTTCCCATGTCTGTATCCACAAGTGCCCCATGTCTCCCAGTGTCTGTGTCCCCATGTCTCTGTGTCCCTAGTGTCTGTGACCTCATTTCTCCCAGTGTCCCCAAATGTCTCAGTGTCCCCATGTCTGTATCCACAAGTGCCCCATGTCTCCCAGTGTCCCCAAATGTCTCAGTGCCCCCCATGTCCAAGTGTCTGTGTCCCCATGTCTCTGTGTCCCTAGTGTCTGTGTCCCCATGTCTCTGTGTCCCTAGTGTCTGTGACCTCATTTCTCCCAGTGTCTGCATGTCTCCCAGTGTTCCCATGTCTGTATCCACAAGTGCCCCATGTCTCCCAGTGTCCCCAAATGTCTCAGTGCCCCCCATGTCTCCCAGTGTCCCATGTCTCACTGTGTCCCCATGTCTCCCAGTGTCCCCTAGTATCCTAGTGACATGGGACACACTTAGACATGGAGACACTGGGAGAAATGGGGACACAGACACTGGGAGACTAGGGGACTGGGCGACATGGGGACACTGACACTGTGATACATAGGGACACTGATGCCAGGTTGGACTTCCAATTATTTGGCAGTTCTGGTCACGTGATTGGCGTCAGTGGCCCACCCTTTTACACCTCCCATTGACTTCCTGCTTCACTGGACACAGATGTTAGGGGGTATGGATTTACTTGAAAGATGAAAGCATGAATTAGATAGAAAAGATTAGCATAGAGTATGTGTTTTCCTATAGCTGCATCCTTTGAGTTTCCCTCCAACACCAACTAAATCAGATACATGACGCTTGAGAGGTATGACTGTTTTAGTGTTTTTGGTCAATAAGATTCTGTAATTATTGTCATATTTGTCAGCACCAGGCTCTTATTCTGGCCCTGATGTTACCAATTGTGCTGTTATATTTTAGAGCGTATTTGTCCCTTAATTGGTGTAGCTGTTTATTGAGTAATCACTAGATGACATTGCTTGCATACTTCATCAAGTCAGGGCAGGTGTTTAGTGTTTCCTCTGTTCTTGCGCAAAACTATGCAGAGTTGAATTCACTAAGTGTTCAATGTATAAATAACTCCCTATTGTCAGGATAGTGATTGCCAAAGCACGAGTGTTTAATGTAAGGTTTAGGGCCCTTTTGTATTGAGCTGAAAATATAAAAGTGCTCTTGCAAAATATTGTAACTTTGGGATTGGGATTGCTTCAAAAAGCCTTAACAGCTCATCGAGAGACATATACAAATCAATAAATATAAGATAGTCCTCTCAATCTGATAACAGATACCAAATGAGCTTAAGAAAAAAAAACCTATAGTTATGTAAAGGATCAACTAAAAATAGAAAAATATTTATTGTTTAAACATACTTGTTTAGGTATGCTTGATCAGCAGTCTATATGCACAAAATTGCGGTTTAGTCCTTCAATTATGTTCTTAATTTTCGTTCCATTTGTCAAACAAATGCTACCCTAATGGTTTGTGTTTGTTTGTTTGTTTGTTTTCAAAGCAAAAGGAACTCAGTAGTGGAAGGATTAACCAAATCTTAAATGTAAACCATAGAACAGTGCTCGGAATGCCTAGACTTTGAAGATGTACTGTCCAAGAGGCAGTTAGAGTTGTTCACTGTGTGAATTTGGATGTCTGTTAGATTTGTGATGCAACACTTCCGTTTACAATCAGCATCAGTTAGTGGGAATTTTACCGGAATTCAAGCTTTACAAAGCTTAGAACAATGAAGGGATTTATAGCCATCTTACAAAATTCTCAGGCGTGCACAGTTAAATATTATGTTGCAAAATCAAATGATGGAATTCTTCTTTTAATGACTACTTATAATATTGATATTCATTCTTCATCATTGGCTGTTAAATTAGGGTTAAATTACAGATGCACCAATAATTTATAAAACTGACCTTATAAAATAAATATAGAAAAGTAGAAGAGTAGAAAAAAGAGAGAGAGGGAGCCAAACACAGCAGATATGCAAAATAATTAATTCTACAATCCTGTAAATTCAAAAACTTAATAGGAAATAGGAACATATATACATACACAAATACTGTATATGAAAACCTACATTAATTAAAGAGAGAAATAGTATTTACTGCATGTATTACAAAATCGTGTCAGATTATCTAGAATGTAGAACCTAATTTGAACATGAGCTTTAAAATAAAGCTCATAAGACGGAAGGCAGAAAGATGCTAGGACAATCAATCTGAATGAAAGTGAGATGTCCCAATAGAACCCTCTCATGACACAATAAGGATTTATATTTTTTCAGTACTGTGTTTGGATAACATAGTAGCAACATTGGCTATTTCTACAAAACTGCCACTTTTTGCCATTGATTGGACAGGGCATTAGACAAGATAGTCAATGTGATGCTAAGTACTGTAACAGACTGATAAAGCTATGTACAGATGTTATCCAGGCACATTATGGGATGAATTCTGGAATAGGTGTTCTCCACTTCAGCAAAGTAGGGGTTAATGGTTCCAGGTTGCAATGCTGGGCTCTCATTGCATCCTTCAAATTATTTGTTATAAGATAAAAAATGAAAAAAAAGATTGCAATGCCTACATGAAGAATATAACACAGGACATGCACCCCAGCAACTGACATAGTTAACAATAAAAGATTACTTGACATTAAGTGTCAATAGATGGCCATGGCAGTCAAAGTGTTAAAAGTGCCCTGGAAATACAATGTAACCAGCAGAATATAATGGATACTGTAACTGTTACTGAGTTCATTGTTTTTTTTACCCATTTAGATAGAGATCCACCCTTAGTACAAAGACCTACCTCTTGCTGGCCAAGGTTGTTCCTTTTTTTCTGAGACACTCCGATTAGCTTCAGTCCTTTTCAGTGATCTGATGTTCCTCTGTTGATTTTGTGCAAGGATCCAGTTAAACCATCCCTTTGGCTGCTCCACCTCCTTTTTTTCTTTTTTTTTCCTTTTTTTTCTAATTTGAGTCACATCACACCCACCCCTTGCTTCCCCTCCTCCTCCTTCTGTCTGAGTCTTGGCTGCACTCTTGAGAACATGATTTTTCCTTTGTCTTTTGGTTTTTAGGCACAATGCATTGCAGACTCCTCTGTTTCTGAACAGATTGCTTTTGCAGCAACTGTTCCATGGGCAGTTAGCTTTCTAGGGATAAACTACCCTTCATTAAAAATTCATATGTATCAGCCCCTGAGCCAGTAACAGTGCTGTAGTGGTCAGGGTGCCTATAGTGGTCCTTTAAGATGGGTGAATTATGTGTTGGACATTTTATTCAGGGTTATTAACTTAAAATGGGAATTGTGAAACATTGTCTTTAAAATTTAGGTGAAAATTTAAAACTAAAACCATTTTAAGTTCCCAGCAATTCATATTTTAGGGGTGAACCCTGTATTAACTAAAAGTGAATATTGGTGAATTTGCAAAATTAAAGTAAAAAAACAAACAAACTGTGCTACATGATCAACATGACGTTTTTAGTTTAAATTGAGCAAGGGCAGTCCCTTGATTTATTTTCTTACAGTATGGAATATATATGCTTTCTAAACATGCACTGCTTTGCTGTGTTAGATGTGTCAACGCCTGGAACTGACAGTATAAACCCATAGCATCAATTCTGACAGATGTACTAACTACATGGCTATTTCTGTTGGATAAATATAGATACACACTGTCAGGTTTTGCCCCTTTCAGAATTATCATTTAAACTATAAATTCTCACCAAATATTCACCAAAATATTGCAAAAATTAAGCCAAATAGCCAAACTGGAAAGACTGACTGATTTTTCCAATTTGGATATTTTTACCTAGAATTTACAAGACACATTCCTATGTAGGGGTTCTGTCACCTGTAACTCCATCCTGAGTATAGTGTGTATTTCAGAAATACAATACAGTTTTTCTGCAGGCTTTAGGCATACGTGTCAGTCATAGCTTTGCTCAGAAGGTAATTTAGCCTTTCAATGATATGAGGATCAGACGGACAGGAAGAATTCAAAGCTTTTATTCATTGAGCAGGGAATGGATCAATGGAAGGTCAGATTGTGAAATTTAGTCTAAAATAAACAAGCGGTGAATATAAAAAAAAGTTGGACCATCTTCACCAGTCTCAGATGCTCCCTGGTGGTCAACTGATGCACTCACTGGAAGCCTCAGTCTTTCATTGGCTGAGAGCAACCGCTGACCACTCTCAGCCAATGACTTACATTCAGTTCAGACTCTGATTGGCTGCTTAATTCACTTCTTCCCTGCAGCTTTTGTTTTATTATAAATGGTCACTGAGGGAATGAACAGTTTAATGTAATTCCAAGATGGCTGCCTCCACGCTGAAACACTAATAGCTTTGAGGTTAAATGAAAATAACATTGATATAGTTGCATTATTGTTTTAAACTGATTCATGGAAACAAGGCTGTGTTAATCATAGCTTGAGTCTAAAATTTCTGATTATAAAAAAAAGTAACAAAATAATTGTACACCCATTTTGGATGCTGTTTTTAAAGAGTTTAAGAGTTCAACAAATAAATGTTTTTAAAACCCCTTTCATATCTGTTATTGAAAGCATGTAAAACATTTCTCAGTCCCATTTTATTTAAATTATAATCCTATTTGATATTGTTGCTTTTAATTGAGGTGCACTCAATTATTATCACTGTGACTTTCTTCGGGTTGAGGGGGGGACAGATGGGATTTAATGGTTTCTGGTATGCTATAATATACACTATTCTGTGTTCAAAGATGTGTGTCCTTGATACATTTGCTTTGCCATTTCTATATCCAGACCGATCACTCTATTCCACCTCCCTTAAAAATATTAAAAACATATTCAAGATTTTTTTTTTGTATTCTTTATTTTAGTTGTGCAGTTGTTGAACATAATAGTGACCCTGCCACAAAAGCTGGTGCCAACATTTTTCATTCACAATTGTTCATGTGGCTTCAAGGACATTGCACTTTTGTAATATTATGAGATAAACATGCATAAAACTGAGGTTTCACATGTGTATTAGGTTAACAGTAGCTTAGCAATACAATGTGGGTTAAAGTAGTAGTAGCGATCCTGCTAGTGTCTTTGCCGGGTAAGGCTTATCCCGTGTGTAAATTGGCGTAGTCTCAACTTTGCTCTTGTCAGAGAAATGGTCTGAATCAATATTATAGTGTAAGAGCATTTTCATGAGTGTGTACCGATTTTTAGGCTTAAACAGGTGTAGTGTTAACAAGCTGAATATATATGTGAATGGACTGTGTTTATAACATAATAACATATTAAACATAAAACAAGGGTTAACTCATGCTGCATTAATTAGCCCTTAGATGTGTGGGCATTTCTCCTCGCTAGGCATCAGGTGTGTGTAAGGCTAAAAGTAGAATTTAGTGGCATTGTTTTAATGCTGTAATGCCTGATGTTTGGGCTACTGAGATATAGCACAAAGGTTTTGTTCCCCAATGCACAGTAAACAGTAGGGTAAAGAGGTATTTAATAGGTATGTGTCCATCCTTATAGTGATTGTCTTAGCGATAGTTGTAAAATCGTATCAAATTAGTGAGTCAAATGAGTCACCATTAGCATGCTAGTTGTATGAGACTGACTTATGTGCATCTTAATTGTGGTCGTATATGGTCAGGCATGTAGTATGAGGCTGACTTATGGAGGTCTTGGGTCGTGGTTCACTCCTGCTCATTGCGGACATAGTGTCAGCTTAATGTGTATAAGAGAGCTTGTATGTGTGTATAGCCCGTTCCGCCATCCTAGTCTAGGGTATTAGTTGCGCCCTTTCGTAGGGTCCCGAGGTGGGAGGTGGAAGGGTGAGTGTTAAGTGCATGTATCATGCCTGCCCTATTGTGTCAGCTGGGGTCGTGAGTGTAAGCTGTGTGTTGCCTTATAGAAGAACCAACAACGTGTAAAACAAAGCATTTGAAAATTAAGACAGTTAAGCATATTCCAACTAGATAGGACTGAGAATGATATTGTCCTCAGGATGTGGCCGCCACGTATGATTCCGTCACGGCTCCCCGTGGGATGAATGGGGTGATCGCCGCTGGGTTCCAGGTGCGTGAAGATCTGGAAGCGGTAGTGTGGTCTTTATTGGCCAGACTGTCCTGTGGCAGACCCAGGGCTTGTAGTAGTGTTTCTGCCTCTTGTAAGTTCTGTATCAGGTGCGTGGAGTCTCCATGTGTTACCATTAGCGTGCGAGACATGCGCCAGCGGTAGCGTATGTTCTTCTTCTGTAAAAGGGAGGTGAGAGGTCTGAGGGACCTCCGCCAGGCCAGCGTGCTGTTAGAAAGGTCCTGGTAAAAGGCCAGTGACATGCCTTCCATCTGATATGAGGACGCTCCCTTGAGGGTCATAAGGACTGCTGCTTTGTCTGTTCCAGACTTGAACTGGACCACTAGGTCCCGAGGGGCCGTCACTGGTGCCTTAGCCGGTTTGGGGATGCGGAATAGGCCTTCAAAATTTGTAGCTTTAGCCTGCCGCTGTGGGAGTAGAGCAGCCGTTAGTCATTAGGTGTGGTAGTTCGTCGTCCGGCACTTCCTCCGAGATCCCTCTAATTTTTAGATTATTTCAGCGTCTTGCATCTTCCTGTGCAGCGAAGCGGCGGTCATATACTTGGTTTTGCTTTTTTAGGTCTCTGACCTCTTGTTGTAAGGTATCCAAGCATTGTGAGCCTGTGTGTGATGCTTCTTCTAGCACTCCGATGCGGCTTGTTAGACCTGCAGGTCCCCGCGGATCGTGGCTATGTCTGTCTGGAGTGTGGTTTTCAGATCGGCCAGGAGTTCCTTTAGGACAGCCGTGGTGACCGGGGCTGTATCTAGTGTTGTCGAGCCCGGTTGTGGCTTTGGGAGTGCAGGTAAGATATCATCCTCACTGTCCATGGAGAGTTTGTCAGAGAAATCTGAGCAGCCGCCGGCGAAGGCAGCCATTTTAGGCCCGTATGCGCTCTGCGCCTGCCTCCACATTTCCCCGATATTCATTCCCATAGTGTTTGGGCAGTCTGGTACCGACCTCCGGGTCCAGTTAGTGGCGGTATTGGTAGCAAAAAATAGGCTTTTTTTGGCATAAAGCTCGGAGCTTCAGAGACATGCGGCCAGTCGCTTCAGCAGCTTAGCTCTGCCCCTCAGATTCAAGACTTTTACCACCAAAACCAACCTTTAGTGAGTCAAGACAGAAAAGATGATGTCAGTTTATGTGCAGCATCTTAAAGCACAGTGTTTCCAGAATGCATACAAAGTAAACCTGCATTGCTTCCAGGGGGTCATTTTTCATAATCGTTTGCTAGGAGCACAAGAAGCTGCATAAACCTTTTAGAATTGTGCTCCACCTGACATTCCCTCTAATAGATCTGTGCATTCCGTTTCAAATGCATTGCAATTTGTCTGAATTTTGGGCAATAGGCGAGATCCAAATCTAGAGGCAAAAAAAGGAGGATCAGTAAAAAATAAAAATTAAATCTATATCGGTGAGACTTAATATTTCTCATTGCAAAAAAAATTAACTATATACAGGGAGTGCAGAATTATTAGGCAAGTTGTATTTTTGAGGATTAATTTTATTATTGAACAACAACCATGTTCTCAATGAACCCAAAAAACTCATTAATATCAAAGCTGAATATTTTTGGAAGTAGTTTTTAGTTTGTTTTTAGTTTTAGCTATGTTAGGGGGATATCTGTGTGTGCAGGTGACTATTACTGTGCATAATTATTAGGCAACTTAACAAAAAACAAATATATACCCATTTCAATTATTTATTATTACCAGTGAAACCAATATAACATCTCAACATTCACAAATATACATTTCTGACATTCAAAAACAAAACAAAAACAAATCAGTGACCAATATAGCCACCTTTCTTTGCAAGGACACTCAAAAGCCTGCCATCCATGGATTCTGTCAGTGTTTTGATCTGTTCACCATCAACATTGCGTGCAGCAGCAACCACAGCCTCCCAGACACTGTTCAGAGAGGTGTACTGTTTTCCCTCCTTGTAAATCTCACATTTGATGATGGACCACAGGTTCTCAATGGGGTTCAGATCAGGTGAACAAGGAGGCCATGTCATTAGATTTTCTTCTTTTATACCCTTTCTTGCCAGCCACGCTGTGGAGTACTTGGACGCGTGTGATGGAGCATTGTCCTGCATGAAAATCATGTTTTTCTTGAAGGATGCAGACTTCTTCCTGTACCACTGCTTGAAGAAGGTGTCTTCCAGGAACTGGCAGTAGGACTGGGAGTTGAGCTTGACTCCATCCTCAACCCGAAAAGGCCCCACAAGCTCATCTTTGATGATACCAGCCCAAACCAGTACTCCACCTCCACCTTGCTGGCGTCTGAGTCGGACTGGAGCTCTCTGCCCTTTACCAATCCAGCCACGGGCCCATCCATCTGGCCCATCAAGACTCACTCTCATTTCATCAGTCCATAAAACCTTAGAAAAATCAGTCTTGAGATATTTCTTGGCCCAGTCTTGACGTTTCAGCTTGTGTGTCTTGTTCAGTGGTGGTCGTCTTTCAGCCTTTCTTACCTTGGCCATGTCTCTGAGTATTGCACACCTTGTGCTTTTGGGCACTCCAGTGATGTTGCAGCTCTGAAATATGGCCAAACTGGTGGCAAGTGGCATCATGGCAGCTGCACGCTTGACTTTTCTCAGTTCATGGGCAGTTATTTTGCGCCTTGGTTTTTCCACACGCTTCTTGCGACCCTGTTGACTATTTTGAATGAAACGCTTGATTGTTCGATGATCACGCTTCAGAAGCTTTGCAATTTTAAGAGTGCTGCATCCCTCTGCAAGATATCTCACTATTTTTGACTTTTCTGAGCCTGTCAAGTCCTTCTTTTGACCCATTTTGCCAAAGGAAAGGAAGTTGCCTAATAATTATGCACACCTGATATAGGGTGTTGATGTCATTAGACCACACCCCTTCTCATTACAGAGATGCACATCACCTAATATGCTTAATTGGTAGTAGGCTTTCGAGCCTATACAGCTTGGAGTAAGACAACATGCATAAAGAGGATGATGTGGTCAAAATACTCATTTGCCTAATAATTCTGCACTCCCTGTAGGTACACTGAATATAGAGAGGGATGCGTTAGTTAATAATGAAAATAATTCAATGCACTCCAACGAATTCCAGTGGGTCAAAAAAAGTATGGTCAAGCTCCAGGGCCATTTACAACATTTACTTAAAAATTTACCCTGTTACCAATACTCAATATAATGTTGGTAGTGTGTACCATTGAGGTTAAATATTGGCAACTAAGAAGTGAGCTAAAAGCAAAGAATACCATTCCTTATAGTATCCTTTTCCGTAATGGTATATACACTGAACAAAATTATAAACGCAACACTTTTGTTTTTGCCTTCTTTTTCATGACCTGAACTCAAAGATCTAAGACTATTTCTATGTGCACAAAAGGCCTATTTCTCTCAAATATTGTTCACAAATCTGTCTAAATCTGTGTTAGTGAGCACTTCACCTTTGCTGAGATAATCCATTCACCTCACAGGTGTGGCATATCAAGATGCTGATTAGACAGCATGATTATTGCACAGGTGTGCCTTAGGCTGGCCACAATAAAGTGTTCAGCTCATGAAAAATGGGAGCAAAAACAAAAGTGTTGCATTTATAATTTTGTTCGGTGTATGTTCAAAATTACAATAAACATTGATTTCTAAAACAAAAAAGTTATAATTAAACTCTAATAACTACAATGAGGTTTCATGTTTGCAAACAATGCTGGAAATACTGGAGCATCAGTTTCTATTTCTACTTTTTATGCTATACAATAAGCAAGCTATAACTGCAGTCAAAGAGGTGTGTTACAGAAATATACAAGCAATATATATATATATATATTATTAGTCAAATTTTGGATGGTCAGACAGTCTGTAGGCTTGTGACAGCTGCAAAAAGAAATAATTATTTTAACCTTGTACTTCTCCCATGACCCTCTGCTTTGTCCATTTCCTTAATCATGCTGTGGTTTTTAGTTTTCCATATGTTTTCACACACGTTCCCTTTAGATTTCAGACGTAATGCTTTTCTAACATTTCCAGGAAATGGCTTTTTTTGTCTAGTAACTGTGTGTCAGCTATCTGTCCTAGGTGACTCAGTGAAACCTGATATTCTCTGTATTTGAGGGAAAAAGAGATCTATGTGTTATTAAATAAAATTTTAAAAATTTAAAAGGTCACTCTAAGCACCACAACAAACTACTCGTTGCATAAATTATGAAGCCTAGAGACTACAAGACTACTCGTTAGTTTTGGGACATCCTCGTTTGCTGTCAAAGATCTGTGCAACCTGTTGGTTTTTTTACAAGTTACATTTTTGAAAAACAAAGCAATACTTTGTTTAAGGTTTTGGTCAGACACTATATTATCTGTTAGAACCCTATATCGTGGCCCATCTTCCAATCACTTCTTGGTCCCAACCTTCTCTGTTAACTCAATTCGGCCTGACCATAGAGAATTCCCTTGAATATTTATTTATTATTTATTTATAAAATATTTTACCAGGAAAGATACATTGAGATTTTGTCTCGTTTTCAAGTATGTCAAGGGCTGAGATTAAAAAAAAAACCAGAAAAGGAAGAGAGAAGAAAAAGAGGGATGAAGAAAGGAAGAGAGGGGGCAGGGGGTGGGGGGGCACCCATCATCAGAAGGCCACCCAGCCCATAAGGGCCTGGTTTCCTCTCTATTCCGTAATCTCCTGAGCCCCTGTTCTATATCCCTCAGTCATTACCCGAGCCCGCTGTGCTGTTATCCGATGGTTCCCAAACTTTTTGGAATGCTGTCGTGGTTCCCTTCACTCTAGTTGTCAGGTCATCCATCAATTTGCTTTCTCTAATCCTAGATATTATGCCTGTAAAAACAGGACCTTCCGGTGTCAGCCATGCAGCTGCTATCGCTCGTCGTGTGCTTAAGGTAATTTTTTGCACTAATTTTTGTTCTCTCCTAGTCCATCCCTCTATTGTTCTATTGAGGAGATATACCCACGGGTCCAACACCAGGGGCCTGTAACCTTAAGGTTTTATGTATGTTTTCTTTGTTTGTGCTTTTCACATACAAGCTTCCTTTTCATTGAGAATGTCACAGATCATGTGTCGTAATATTGTAATGAAGAAGCAATTTCTATTGTGATACTGCCCACAAGTGCAGTAATAACTCCATGTAGACATTTTTCAGATTTTTTTTTTGGAGAAGCTATCAATAAGATAAGTGTCAGATTTCAGACCAATTTCAGTTTTCAAACTTTCAGTTTTTTTACCTCCTGGAAGAAAATCACATACTGTATTTTACCTTCACAATAGCAAACTATTTGCCAAGAAAGACAACTTGGGCCATAGAGTATGGATCTTTTTACTTGGCCTGTTCATCAGCAATTTCCATTGAATTTATCTATAAGCTTTATTTTTCTTTTTTGACCATGCTCCCACGCAGACTCCAGACACCCCCTGCTACCCTGGTATTATAACAGACATTTGGCAAATATGCCTTACGAGTACACATGCACATAAAATGACCTATACGTGCTTCATTTAGTAAACTTGTGATGTCAGAAAAAAAGGAGAGGTTTTAGTACATGTGCAAGATTTCTGAGTGAAAAAATACTCACAGCTCAATAATCAGACACTGGAGATTCATTGTAATAAAGTAATTATCAGTTACATTTTTTTCAAGATAGGTTACAGTTCATTAATGCAAGGGGTGCGATGTAGTAATCAGCACCTGCAGTCAACTGTAAAAACTTAAATATCTCCATCATGATGTGTAAAATACAGGGTAAATGACATCTTAAAACTAAAAACCTATATTTAGTTTAATGATGAGTTTTTATGTTGTGTTATTGCCCATGACCAGCTTATTGGGCTTAATATTAAATACTCTATTAAGGTTTTTTTATTCTACTTTGTCTTTTACCCATCATAACCACAATGTTCTACTGTATTGCCCAACCTTAAAGGAACCTTATATTGTTAGGAATATCAATCTGTATTCCTAACACTATAGTGTCCCTCTTCCTACTTGTTTTAAGGTCCAACCTGTAAGGTGCATTAAAATAAAATAAAAAAAAGGTAAAAACTTAGATTTACCTTTTTTCCAGGGCCGAGGCTCCCTCGGCATTGCTTACCTCTCTGTCTCCTCCGCCAATGTCCTATCCAATGCTTCTCATAGATGAACATTGGGGATTTAATTTGCCTGTGCCTCTAGCACATTCAAATATTCTCATATGAAAGCATTGTATCAATGCTTTCCTGTGGGGGCTTGTACATTACGTGACCAACAGCCACTAGAGGTGGACTTAACTTTGCAATTTAAACATTGCAGTTTCTAAAAAAAACTGCAATATTTTACATTGCAGGTTTAAAAGGACTTGCTCCACTTAGTGTCCCTTTAATATTCGTAGCAATGTTTGGCACCTTTTTTACAGAAGAATATTATGAAACTGGATAAAGTGAGGATGTGGATGAACAAATAACGTGAATTAAAGATTTTGGTTATGAAAAAAGGTCAGAAAAAGATGTGATTATTTTAGTTTACTTTAGAAAAAGGCATCTTAGCGTGGAGGGCTGTACAAGGGTTTAGTGAACTTACCCCTATTTCCAGGTGTGAATGTCTACATTTAATTTTGTTATATGTCACAAATATATATTTGTATATAGGAATATATAAACATCCCTGTCACCAGCTTATTTTTCTGGGTTAGCCCATCTATCAACAGTTTAACTCCAAAGTCTTGATTCTTGAACAGGAAATGTGAACAGGGGTGCTGCTTATTGGCTGAGAGCATCAGCTAAAGCTCTAAGCCAATCAGTAGCTCCCCATTTATAAAAACAGCTTGAGAAAAATCTGTATGTTTCTAAAGCCATTTTGCGAATGGGGAGCTACTGATTGGCTTGGAGTGTCAGCAGACGCTCTCAGTCAATCAGCAGTACCCTGTCAGAGGCTTTGTCTTTCAAGAATTAGAGAGAAACAGAAGGGCAGGGGCAGAGCGAAATCGAGCTGGATTCAGGACTCTGTGATTAAACCATTGTGAATAGTTTGACACCTAACAATCTGATTCTGATGAAGTTGTGATGGTGCCCAGGGCGATTCATTAAACCGGTTTAACCCTGGAACAGTCAAACATATGTCACTGTTCATATTCACATTCTCGAGTGTCCCTTAAACTTTTATAGTAAAACACAAAACAATAAAAAAGTATACTACCTCAAGCTATTTTGTTGGCCAGAAGGGAACAAACGAAACATTGAGAAGGTCACAGACAAATAATTTCTATGGCAGAGGATTGTGTGTGGAGCGGCATAGATAAGCATTCTCTGCACATATCCTACCTGACCTTTTTCATTCATCTTAATGGCCTTTAGTTCCCAGAAAAGTTTCCTATATCTGCCCTAAAGTATGCTTAATACTTTTCCCAGTAGTCCAGAACAGTATTTAAAATGCAAAGGGTTTGTGATATATCTACACGATTTGAAGCTTTACAATTCATCTCAATTGCTTGCCAGCTTCACTGGAACTTAATGGTTCTTCTGTGAAAGCACAAGACATTTCCTCTTTCCAGTCTTTCGTGCATTATAAAGTGTTACATTGTAACATTGCTCTCGAGACACTGGTTAAAGAACTAACCATTCATTCATAAAAGGCCACTCACTTAATGGTTATCAAGCGCTGCTATTTGTGGTCTTCCAGCTCTTATGACTCATTTTCCTCTGAATTATTTTCTCTTTAACCCACAACACGTAAAGGTCAAATTGATTACGATAATGAATGGGACATGTTGTGGTTTGGATATTTGGGGAAGGCAACCTTTGGCACTCCATATGTTGTGCACTACATTTCCCATAATGCTCTTACACCCATAATGCTGGTTAAGCATCAAGGGAGATGTAATCCAGAGCATCAGGGGTGTCGAAGGTTGCCTACCCCTGTTCTAAAGTATGATCCTTACTTCCATGTGGACTTGCATAAGATACCCACTCCACCATATCCTATTCCTGGATTTCTTCTGAGGGGATGGATATTTATTTACACAGATCATACAACTCCTGTGTAATGGAGTAGTCAGATTTCTGGGTGATGTATGAATTCACCGGTATGCAATATTAGCAATTCCAGGATATACCTCTACTTGCAAACAATTGTTAAATTCACACATTGTCTTTTAATGGTTAAATGGTCATTATTTTGATAACCAATATTTTATTTCCCAAAACGATCACATGGACGAAAGTCATCTAAACTGAAATGCCAAATGAACAAGTTTCAGACTACGCGAAGAAGTATTTTTTTTCTACACAAATCGAGTGATGAAAATAATTGTAACAACATCATTCCAAAAGTCACATCACTCATTCTAAGGGTTATATGTTGCAGTTTAGCCTTCAATTTCTTGATTTCTATTATGACTACAGTCTACTCAAATTCAGATTTTAATTAATCTTGAATTCCATGCTTCATTAAAATCTGTATTTTAAATCACACAGGAGCTTTCACATGAGATCATTCTCACTGGTGAATTTTCTGGCTACTGACCATGTTTTCATTGCTAGCTATATTCCAATTTGGATGAAAGGAAGATCGGTAATCAGAAGGCAGCTTCAAGTCTAAAACTCTTTCTTACAGTCTGTCATGATCTAAATTTACCAAAATTCAGGGTCCCTTGCTTTAATCTAGCAAGGATTTTGCCCATAGGCTTACTAGGTGTAGGATTAGGCGGTAGGTTATAGAGGCTAAAATATAATCAGGGTTCATACAAAAAAGAGCCCACCAGTGACTCTTATCTGCCCATCCCCAGAGGTTTAATAAGGTGGTGTTTTAATGATGTTATGAAAAGGCAGAGTAGGCAGAGATTACATTGCAATATTCCAGCATGCTTCTTTGCCATGACTTAATGCGTGGCAGCACATTACCCATTTACTGCCCAGCACAAAGTTATGGCAGAGCAGCCTGCAGTGTTAATGTAATGTAAGCTCTGCCGCTCCTGCTTTTTATAACATTAGCAGTTGCAGGCAGAATATTCTGAGATGTGATAAGATATATATAACCTATGAGCAAGTACAAATCTGTGCATTGCAGTGCACGATCCCCTTTCACTCGGGACAACAGTACAGATTGCCAATAAAAAGGTAAACAGCAGTGGAGGAGAAATAGAGTTTATTAAAGGGACACGATAGTCACCAGAACAACTACAGCTTAATGTAGCTGTTCCAGTGAGTATAGCCAGTCCATGCAAGCTCTTTGCTGTAAACACTGTCTTTTCAGAGAAAAATGTGACCGTCCCAGCAAAATCCCTTCACACCCATGTGTATGTATCTGTTCATATACTCACACATTAACATGCTCTTTCACCCTGCACACATACAGATGTATTCAATACACACTCATAGCATGTAAACCTGTATGGGTGTATCATATAACATATAAGTGTGGGTGTAACACGTGTGATCCTGTCCCACTGTTCTAACTCATATAATAGTCCTTTCAATATTATCATCAAAGCTTTTTGAGTAAGAGACGATCTTTAAATCTAACACTACTAAGAGTCAGTTTAGAACTCTGGGTTTTCCTTTGTGCGGAGAGTGTGCATTTTTGTATCACACGACGGCTATAGACTTTACGGTATGGGAAAGCTGCCTCTGCTCAGGGTAAAGCAGCAGACTGAAGCTATACAGTTAGTCACTCCCTATGGAATAAATACACATGTATTTTCTGCTTACAATACAACAGACGGTAATTATCTGTACCAAATAATCTGCAGCAAGCAAACGATTTCACATGTCATTGTAACATGTGGTTTGAATAAGGTTTAATGGAATTTTGTTCCCTTATTTTTCTTTGAGATGTAATATTTAAATCTGTCTAAACGTGCCTGCAGCGCTGTTCAGAATCTGTCCACAATGTAAAATTGACTCATTACCTAAAAGCTAATTAAGTTCTCAATGTGGGAAAGTGTTTTCGGAAGCCAAACACAGAAACTAGTTTGCATTGCCATTTTTAACTCCATTTGCTTTCTAATAGACTACTAACCAGAAATAATATCTGGTACAGCTCATCTGACGTGGTTTAGTTGTTAGCTCTAATTAAGTCCATCAAATACCATTGGTTTTATTGGGTGAATTATCTGCAATTATCCAGATATTACAGTGAAGAGGGGTTAATTTATTGCCATAGTATTGGTGGTTGGGTGACCCGAATGGAGGGTAGGTCAGCTAAATGAATGTATTATTTTGGTAGGAGAAACCTCTGAACTCACCCTTCCAAAACCCAGCTGTGCACTCTGCAGCTGATGTCAGGAGTGAAGACCCATTGTGTTTATACAGCATTCACTCCCATCAGGTGGACGTCCCGAGCATAAACGTGATCACATTTCACTCCCATTTTTATAGTTCTCTAACACCTTGGGGGTTCTGACAAGTATGCACCTGTCGCAATCAGGGCTGGTGAAAGGATTTTTAGTTACACAGTCATTTTGCCACCCCCTCCTCCCCCACATTTTTGCCTGTGTTCTCTTAACCCTCCACTTTTGCCCCTTTTTGCCAAAGTGTGTTTGTTTCTGTATAGTAACTACTGATCTTTTCCACACCCTTATTTTATTTTTTATTTTTTTAAAAACAAAACTTTAAAATATATTAAAACTTACATTGAATACAAAGCCGGGCAAAGTCCTCCTCCTTCCTTTTCATGCCCTATGTGACGTCACTCCTTCCCTCGCGTAGCCCAAACAAATGCTTCTCACAGCGAAGCATGTGATTGGACCATTTTACTGCACACACTATTGGTCAGTGAAGGGAGGAAGGACAGAGGCAGGGAGGCATGGAGCCTGTTTCAAGCAAAAGTACTGCATAGTCAGACTCCTACCACCATGACCACTTACAAAATCAGAATTGTCAAGGTGGTTGGAATAACCCTTTATCTCCTTTTGTGTTATTCACTCTTTTGCCCTCTTGTGTCTCTTACCCTGCTTTTGTATTTCTTACTCCCCTCGTGTGTCTCTAACCCTCAATCTTGTCTCTCTTATCCCTTTTATGTGGTGAGTATAGAAGTCCCCTATGATAAAGATGGTAGAGAAACTGTGCATGCAGTATGTGTACATTACATGCATGTGTAGAGACATTATTGTATATTCTGATTTTTAGGAAGCAGCTTTATCAGAAATGTCATCAGATTCCTTGCAAATACCCAAAGTCAGGGTAACTACATTATTATTATTATTATGTTATTATTTATATACTGCCAACAAATTCCGCAGCGCTTTACAATGGGTGGACGAACAGACATGTAGTTGTAACATGTTGTAACAACATGTTACAGTTAGCATGTTGTAACAAGTTGGACACACAGGAACAGAGGGGTTGAGGGCCCTGCTCAATGAGCTTACATGCTAGAGGGAGTGGGGTAAGTGACCCAAAAGGTAAGGATAGTATTATACTAATGACAGCTGCAAGAGAGAAATCAGTCGGGAGCTATTTACAGTTTAATTGATACGCTTTTATGAAGAAGTGGGTTTTTAATGATTTTTTTTGAAGGAGTGGAGACTGGGTGAGCATCTAACGGAGGAGGGAAGCGAGTTCCACAGGAACGGTGCAGCCCTCGAGAAGTTTTGAAGGCGAGCATCAGAGGTGGGAGTAGGGACAGAAGATAGACTTAAGTCTTCAGTAGAGCGTAAGGGCCTAGACGGGACATACTTGTGTATTAGGGAGGATAGATACAGCATTATGTAGAGATTTGTAACACAGATATATATATTTATTTCATTCTGTAAGTTAGTATTTAGGAACATGCTAATATAATTTCTACAGCTTTTTAAATAAATAAATAAATAAAAATTAAGTAAATTTTGATATTTTTTTTTCTATTTCCTAGCAGCATACACAAAATTACTAGCTATGTAACATATATCTTATATTAGGCAAACATGCTGGTGAAAAGGTTTAACAAAAGCAACTATTATGTGTTTTCTTATCTGACAGATATGCTGTGTTGCAAACAAGGTTTGATTCTTTTTTTCTAAACTTTAGTTATGTATTTGTGCCCTGTTCCCAAAGCATTACTATATCAAGACAAACTAAAGAGACATAACACACAGCATGATATTTTTTCTCAAGGAATATAAATTAATAAGTAATTTATAACAAACTCTCAGTACAGTAACTGCTGTGTCTTAAACCAGAGACTGTCACCAACATTGTGTACAATGAGTTTATGAAATAATGATATATTAGTAGGCCTGCAAGCAAGAACTTCTAATGCCCACCTGGGGTAAATAGACATCTTTATAATGGCTGTAAAATACAAGATTGCAATATGTGTTCTGATATATGTGGCTTTCTTTTGCAAAAAATAATATGAGCGGTTCAGAAATAAATAGTCCTATTTTTTTCTTTTTTAAAGGGGCAATACAAGCTATTATCGGCCGCTTTTCTTTATACCTTTCAATTATAATTAATTAAAAATGTGCAAACACTAAACATATTAAGATGTTAAACAAAATATTCAGAATAAAAATATTAAATAAAATAAACCTCTGAGTATCTGTCTGTCATTGCTGAAAGTCCAGAAATTCTTCAGGGAGAGTTAATGCTATCATTGGTCAA